TAAGGGTTCAATGCCTGGCACCACATGCTTTGCCAACCCCTGATCTGGGTGTGCTGAGCTGGCCACTGAGACCAGGCGTGGTGGCACATTCCTGTAATCCCAGGGCTGGGGAGGCTGAAAACAGCAGGATCACTATGAGTCTGAGCTGCCCAGTGAGACTCTGGTACATTTATATAAATAAAGTAATTTAAAATTTACAAAATAGTTAAAAGGCAGATAATTTCCTTTGTATTTTTTCTTTTAAGGTTATATTGCACCATGGAGTGGCAGATTTTACTCATTGTGGGACACTGGGTAAGTACATATACGTTATTTCAGCCTCACAAATACCCTTTTGTTTCTGCTGTTATGGTATTATCAGTATTTCAGTCAGTACTTAAGTATCATTAAGTATGTAGAGTATCCTGGGTCAAAAAACATTGAATTCCTCTTATTTTACCTTCATTAAGTATCTGTTTGGAGTGAACCTTTAGAATGAAACGTGAGTTATATATTTCTGTTCTGTTCGGCCAACTCCTTATTTTAGTTTTGTATGTTAAAACATTTTAATAACATCTGTGCAATTCAAAGATTTTTGTTTTACTTATATTTAAATTCACTTTTAATATTTAATTTTTAATGGTTATAGATAAGTGCTGTTATAAATCTATATACCACAGATAAGAAAATTTAACATTTCTAATACCATATATAAGTGTTCAGGAGATAGCTCAGTGGCTTAAGATCATGCCTAATGCCATATATATTTTTTTTTCTCAGATATATGAAATGCATTTAAAGTATGAAATCTATTTCTATTATGAATAAAAATTGTTGGTTTTGAGGTAGACAACCAATTCAGTATAACTTTCTAAAATGTATCCCTAGAAATAAGAAAATATGTGTTAATGATCATTTATTCACATCTGTTTCCTGCTATTCTGTCTGCTTCTTTCTGGGTGACTCAAAAACGTACCACAATTACCAAATGAGCCTATCTTCTGATGTGATACTAGAAGGGATTGTGTCCAGGTCTAATTGAAGGACATAAGCAAATTATGTAGGAATGACTGAAGTATATACATTAAGAGTTTGGTGTGTGCTCACTACAGGATTTGAAAGAGTTGTAGATTTACTCTGATGAGGCTACATATTTGTTAGGTTAACTTGTCAGCTATACTTATTCTTGCTTTCTCAACTTTCTGAACTTTGATTTCTATGGAATCTTAGAATGTTTCGTTCATAATTAGCACTTCCCTCCATGTCAGCTCCTTGTCAAGCAAAGCATTGTGGTAGTCTGATGTCTTCCATGGTATTTTTGACTGTCAGTAAAAACTAGTGAAATTCATTGATGCAAATTCGGAGGTGAAGATTACAGATCAAATTCCTGTTTGCACAAAGATTTTTGTAACTAGAAATCAGAGCCACCGATAATAGGAAGATTTTCATAATTTTACAGAGTGCACATTAGTTTTAGTTTTACTAAAGTAGACTAAACATGTATTTCCATTGTACCTCTTTACATTAGCATATATATGTTTAAACAAGAAGAGGTGGGAGTAAAAACCATATCTATAATCAAAGAATATTTCCTCTAAAAAGAACTCCTGTTTTATCATCCTAATTGTGAATAATTTTATTAACTTTTTTAATATCAGGTATGCAAAAATACACATTCCAATTATTGCATCAGTGTCTGAACATCAACCTACGACTTGGGTGTCTTTCTTCTTTGATCTACATATTCTTGTATGTACCTTCCCAGCAGGCCTGTGGTTCTGCATCAAAAATATCAACGATGAAAGAGTATTTGGTAAGAGAGATTTTAATAAATCTTTGATTTCAAACATCTATTTCTTATTTAAGAATATTGCTTCAAGGAATTTTATTATTGACTATATATTCAGGATAAGTCTCTCCGTTGTGTGTAGGCATTTAGTGAAGAAATGTTAATTGAATTTTCTTTATATATATTCTAGTTGCTATTTTAATTTGAAGCTAATACATAAATTTTGCATTCAACTGATAATTTTTAAGAGGCTAATGTACTCAGTATAGTCTGTGAGAACTGAAAATTATGTTTATTGATAACATGATTTTGACTTCATTTTCTAAGTTAGCTGTAATTAGGAAAAGACTTTCAGGCACATCCTTTTACTCTACTTGCACAA